ATGTAAGGTTTAGTTTACTTTTGTTGTGATTGAGGAGCCTGGTGTCCGGCTCATCTAATGCACTCATTTGCATAAATGACAAGTTTTCATTCAGGGTGGTGCCCCACGAGTTTTGCACTTTGTTTCATTCATCACAGTGTCTCCGTAGGAGAAACACATAGTACTCTTACTTTTGAATCTGTTATTTCTACTTGAAATTTATAGTTTAAAGGAATGGCAGAAATGGTAAGTTTTAATACTGTTTATTGATTATTATTGATTATTGATGATTAGTTATTTATTATTGGTGATTATTGAAATTTATAAGTTTTTTGAGTAAGTAAATTTGAACACGTAAATAACCGTTAGTAAGTACATTGTTGTAATTTCTTTTTTCTTTTCTTCTTTTTAGTTTTTAAGTGTCTTGTGAATCCATGTGAATAAACCAAGATCCAGTGAAAAACACATGCCTTTTCTTTGACTTTTATTTAACCTATATAACCCCTGCGTGTTATAAAACAAAAGTTCTCAAATTATGCAAATAAATAAATAAATAAATAAATAAATAAATAAATAAATTTAAAAAAACATTTTAAATGGTCCAATCAAGGAGATGTTCAAATTGACCTGTATTTTCCTTACACTGATCACTCCTGTTATTTTCTAGACAATAGGCCTATTGGTTTTCCTTGAAATGCATTATCAGTATTGCATATACCAGTATCCTGACAAAAGAGAAAACCTAGGGACAACACTGGGCAGATCTCTGCTAGTTTTGAAGATATGAAGGGCAAGAAAATATGCAGAGTTCAGTTTGTGGTAAAAAAATAGGTCAAAGGTCAATTTCAAGGTCACAGTGTATGACTTCCTATATAAGTTCAATAGTAGCTATGGGCATTTCTTTGCCAATGTTGGAGATACGAAGGCCAGGAAACATGCAAAGTGCAGTTCATCATAAATAGTAGGTCAAAGGTCAATTTCAAGGTCACAGTAAGATTGCCAGTATATGACTTCCTATTCAAATTCAATAGTAACTTTGGACATATCTCTGCCAGTTTTGGAGATATAAGGGCTGGAAAATGTGCAAAGTTCAGTTCATGGTGAAAAGTAGATCAAAGGTCAATTTAAAGGTCACAGTTAGATTACCAGTATATGACTTCCTATTCAAGTTTAACAGTAACTATGGGTGTATCTCTGCCAGTTTAAGAGATATAAGGGCTACAAAATTTGCAAAGTTCAGTTCATGGTGAAAAGTACTGTAGGTCAAAGATCAATTTAAAGGTCACAGTTAGATTACTTGTATATTACTTCCTATTCAAGTTCAATAGTAACTATGGGCATATCTTTGCCAGTTTTGGAGATATAAAGATCAGAAAACTTCAAAGTGCAGTTCATCATGAAAAGTAGGTCAAAAGTCAATTTCAAGGTCACAGTTAGATTACCAGTATATGACTTCCTATTCAAGTTCAATAGTAACTATGGGCATATCTCTGCTAATTTTGGAATATTTAACATTTTCCCCACTGAATATTGCAATGTTGTAATTTTTGATATACTGTAGCGCAATGCCTAAACCATATCAAAAACAAAAAAATGGACACCATGGCACCTCCAGTATTGCACTTGCATATTCTACATAATGAGATGAACAAAAGGTCTCTGGCATTTACCATTCCAGAATAAAAGCAAGTTTTCAGTTTCGGTATCTAATGGCTGCTTCTCCCGTGAAAATGCACGGATTGACTCCAAACTCCCAAAGATGAAAGGAGTCCCCAATTGTGACCCCTCACTATAACAGAAGAGCTTAGATCTGTGTAGTTTCAAAAAAAAATAGCACAAACAAAATTTTTTTTGCAGAAAATTCCCATTTTTAGACCTTGTTTGACCTTGAAAAAAAGGTCTAAAGTCAAATCCAAGGGCATATTTGGAATCTCCACATATGACTTTCGGTCAGACTTCTGTAGTAATTTTTCCGATAATTCCATTGGTTTGGGAGTTATTTATCCTTGTATTTTCAAAAATTTTGACAAGGGTGTGTTTCAACGAGTGTCACGCCCAGGCCAATGCACCAACAGAGACAAAAAAACCAGGGTGTTCAAGTTGAGATTATATGTGACCTAAATCCAAGAGATGGGGACACAGGTCCTGGCGGTCTAGGAGGAGAAGTGGTAACGGTAACTTGTTTCGGACGCCCGACTATGGAGCCGGCAGAGCAGCATTAGCCGGCGGAGCTGTACGAGACAGGTCGGGACTAAAACCATGAGTACCGCCAGCGTATACGCTGGTGGTACTAATAAAGATGCAGAAAATAGGTTAATTTCTCATTTTGATGCAATAATAAATAATACTTGTAATAGCACAGTCAATCGACACTGAATTTAAGTCATGCACAACAGGTAACATGGTCAATAACAGGAGCGGATCCAAATGTATTTTCTGACAGTATTTTAAAATGTCTTTGTTAATCCATCCTCCAGTTTTGATGGTCTTCCAACAGAAAAAATAGATACCCGTCAATGTCAACTTTAAAATCTGACCGTCTTCTGGAAAACCCTGAAGACGATCCCAATCTGCCCCTATGATAAGATCACAGTTTCAGGACCACGAGAGTTCAAATTCATATGATGAAAATCACAATATGACAAATGAAAGCAGTGCATAGAATAATATAATGTTACATAATGTTTGAAGACATAAATACCAGTACAAATGCTTATGTGGAAAAACAGAAAATGTGCAGAGCTTCAGGTGGAGGGGAGTTAAAAATTCAGTCGAAATTCTCAGTGTTTGAAAAAATTAAAAACAAAACATAACAAAATTATTCCAGTAAAGCTGCTTTTCAAACTTTTAGTCTTAATGTATAAGCATGTTATGAATAACCCCATTGAGTTTGAGGATAATAAGGTACTGTTGTTCATATACAGCATTAATGTTGGCATTATACAAAATAATTTTTTTGAAAACTTATTTGCAATATCAAACAACATTTGCCTGCATAATTATCACTGCTTCCCTATTATGGACACTGTTAACTGGCAGAGAACTTAACCTATGGGAGTTTACAGAGAATCTCAACATGTGTGTTTTAAATAATCTCATTTAATTGCCACTTGAAACTTAATTAGGCAAGTGACCTTATAGCTCTGAATTTAGGTAGTAGTTAACCAAGGGAAGATTAGAGGCTTGTCACCCAAATGTGACTAGCAAAGGTATTCAGGCCCATGAAATGTCTAAGTCACNTAGAAAAGTATTTGAATTTGCAGGCCGAACGTGCTCCATCGAGAGGCCGAACGTGCCCCAGGCCGGGGCACGTTCGGCCACGTGTTGGAAATTTATTTCATGTTAAATTTCTTAAAAACGCAAGGTCTTCTTTACATTTGACCAATGTATAAAAAAAGGAAATTTAGCAGTCTATCTACTCAAAACACATCATTGAGATTCGTCGTCAAACAGCTGAACTACAACCGATCAAAGGAAAAGGGGCCGAACGTGCCCCGGTCTCCCCTAATTCAAAAGAGCTGGTTTTTCTAATTTAAGCTGTTTGTCAATCCTAAGAATCATTTTTTGTAAATATAAAATAGGTAACAGTTTTCTTTTTATAACGTTATGGTGATAGTGCACAAAGTAGGTTTTTGATGCAATATAACATAATGGTCAACTGTATAAATACCACAAAATTTTAATTATCTTCTATTAAAAACATGGACATTAAGAAAATTTGATTACCACCAGGCTTCATGCCCATGTGAGTTCAAAGTCCCAGTATGATGAAAATAAGAAGATAGAAACTCACATACCTTATCAACAAGCTAAGAAAAACTCTCGAACATTCTGAGCAATACACGAGAATTTTGTTTTACTACATGTGAACTACTTACCTGCTGCTTTGTCAGGAGAGGCAGGTGATTCACTGTCATCAGGGGAAGCGGCTGTAGAATAAAGAGAAGAATAATATCAAACAACATTCTAACAGAAAAAGAATCAACCTTGAAGTAAACAAAAACGTTTTCAAGGCACATATATGTGGAATGGCCAAAGAAAAACACATAGAAGGTGGAATCTCTTGGCAAAAAAGAAGAATAACTACAAATATCTGTTTAAATTGCACCAAGATGAACTATTCGAGACAATCATGTACAATACCTCTATTTGTCAGCATGTTATTAATATTCTCTTCTGAATCTGGTGGGGATTCCTCTAGTGGCGTTTGGTCCAATACTGTTAAGTCCGGCTCACAAAACGTATCTGAATTCTGTACTCCAATTGCCATGTTTTGTGCAAACTGGTCTTTTGGATCATCTGAGAATAGTTGGAAGGATCATACAGGTAGATCAAGCGTTGTATCTAAATGTACCCTTTCTGAGTGTACGTATCAGGCTACACCGTTGAAAAATTCAATTCAATATTGAGTAGAATAAAGCATGGTGTTTTTACAAAGAATGAAATTATAGTGTTTGTACCCAGTTAAAAAATAATCAATGGGCTGTAGGAGTAGATTGTAAAGTGTCATGTATGTCAATTGATTGATAACAATACAAAGGCACCACTTATTTAGGTACTATTTCACTCAGCCCCTCGTCTACCATACTAAGATAGGGAAGGACACATTTCGACACCCACACGTACACGTATGTATAATTCCTTATTGTGAATTATGTGGTAAAATTGAAAATGTCTTATCTTCTGTTCTTTGTATTCTTTATAAACATATTCCATATGTGTCAAACGTTTTCCTATATTCTGCTTACCTTTTCCTCTGATCCAACAGGATCGGCCAGCTTTATGGACAACACACCTATGGCGGTATATATTCACGCCAGTTGTATTTGCATCTTCTTCTTTGATATATTCCTCATGGATGAGGCGCTTGGCAAGATAAGTCTTCCCCACACCGTAAGGTCCAACAATAGCTACTCGCTGTCGGTATACTGGAATCTTACCACTTTCACACAATCGGCGAAGCCGTTCATTAAACTCACCTGGTAATACATATGTTATGCTTCAGATTGACAAAAGGACTCATGGATAAGGTGAACGATGATGTTTGCAGACGTTATATTTATTGTGAAGTGATAGCAGAGAGGAAGCGAGAGAAAATCTAGAGAGGTGGATGCCTGCATATGTGCTTGAGAGTAACAGTGTGTTATGTAAAATCTCACATTTTCACGATGACAAAAGTCGATAAATCGCAGCTTAATTAAATTTTTGAATTGAATTGAGAAATTCCCAAAAATACTTTGGTGCGTTATTTATATCAGGGTAAAACAAACTTCGAGTAAAATAGATAGATAGATAAAAAGGGTGTGTAATCTGGATACTGAATCACTGCTGAAGAACAAAGTGAAGTATACAGACATTTTTCATAAATCACAAAGTCGATTTGCACACAAAGTCTGACATGTAAGATCGACTATGTTCCAGATTACAAAGCAGCATAGAGTAAGATTGCCAGTATATGACTTCCTATTCAAGGTCAATAGTAACTATAAGTGTATCTCTGCCATTTTTGCAGATAAAAGAGGCAAAAAATTTGCAAGACTTAGTTTAAGATGAAAAAGTAGGTCAAAGGTCAATTTCAAGGTCACAGTTTGGCTGCCAGTATGTGACTTCTTATTCAAGGTCAATAGTAACCATGGGTGTATCTCTGGCAGTTTTTGAGTATTTCACATTTTGCTTCACTACTGAATATTGAAATGTACTTTTTTATATAGCACAACTCCTAACCTACATATCAAAAACAAACAAAAAAATGGATACCAACCCCAGTATCAATTGAGCTTGACAAGCTCTACGTAATGCAAAAAACAAGAGGTCTCTTGTATTTAGGGTTCCGGTTTAATAGAGAGTTTTCAGTTTTGGCATCTAACGGCTGCCTCTCCTGTGAAAATGCACCGATTGACCCCAAACTCCCGAAGAAGTCCCAAATTGTAATCCCCCCACTTACAGTAGGTCGGTGTAGTTTCTAAAAATTGGCACAAACATTTTTTTTTAAATCCCCATTTTTAGGAGATTTTGGCCTGTTTGACCTTGAGATAAAGGTCAACTGTCAAATCCAAGGGCATATTTGGAATCTTCATATATGACATTCAGTCAGAATTCTATAGTAATTTTTCCCATAATTCCTTTGGTTTGAGAGATAGTTGGCATTGAATTTTCAAAAAATTTGACAAGGGTGCGTTTTAACAAACGTCACGCCCAGAATAATGCACCAACAGAGACAAAAAAGAATGGGGTTCAAGTTGAGATTATTTGTGACCTAAATCCAAGAGATGGGGACAAGGGTCCTTGCGGTCGAGGAGGAGAATGGTGACTTGTATCCAGCTCCATAACACAAAGCTGGCGGAGCTGTACGAGACGGGTCGGGACAAAAACCAAGAGTACCACCAGCTTACAGGCTGAGCTTACAGGCTGGTTTTACTAATAAATGCGTTGACTGCCATTTTAGTGGTAAAACATAATTTGTTATATTTCCATTGGTTGTTTACAATATTTTTTATTAGTAAATATGGATATCATACAAACAGTGCTTATCCCTTTAACAACAACACAGAATAATATTCAACAATATGACTTATTTGAAAAAAAAAAACAATCTCAGCTGATGAATGATCACAGGAACAGTAACTTTTAAAAACCATCAGATGTAAAAATTGTAGCTAGAAGATGGTGTGCTGCAGCAGTGTAAGAGATTTTGTTTACTAGTTTTAAAAACCATTGCAACAGCCTTGATACATGTATATATGTCAAGCATAATGATAATACTAAGAAATGGGATTAAACATTTTAGAATCCCTTACAGAACGTAAAATATTGCCGGAGTATTCCCGGAGTATAGCAGGAGTGCTCCGGCAACATAAAAATGTTGCCAGAAAGTATCCCCACTGGCTAGCCGCTAGCAGCTTATCTGCGGCTATATACAGTGCATGTTGCCGGAGGTAAGCCGCAGGGTTGCCAGAACCTAGCCGCTAGCGGCTACATTCCGGCAACATGCCTTGTATGTTGCCACAAGGTAGCTGCTAGCAGCTTATCTGCGGCTACATATAGAGCATGTTGCCGGAGGTAAGCCACAGGGTTNTGCAGCGTACCTTATACGCCCCGACACCAATTCTCTCCGTACTTATCTGTGTATGTCCCTTGATAGATACTCCCCTGTGCTTCAAGTCCCTGCACAAATACTCCTCCATACTATTATACCTATACAACCCCAGCGCCGACAATTCCCAGTACCTACATGTGTATAAGGTACGTCACAGTTTAAATTTCCCGCACCAATACTTCCTGTACTTATATTTTCCTGCACCGATACTCCCCCTTATCGCTCCGCCCCTGCACAAAAACTCCCTCATACCTACTCTAAATTGGTGGAAATGTTTTTGTTTTTTTTTTTTTCAAATGGAAAATGCATTGGGTATTAGTGTGTTATGTAAAATCTCATATTTTCACGATGACAAAAGTCGATAAATCGCAGCTAAATTAAAAATTTTGAATTCAATTGAATTGAGAAATTCCCAAAAATACTATGGTGTGTTATTTATATCAGGGTAAAACAAACTTTGAGTAAAATAGATAGATAAAAAGGGTGTGTAATCTGGATACTGAATCACTGCTGAAGAACAAAGAGAAGTATACAGACATTTATCAGAAATCACTAAGTCGATTTGCACACAAAGTCTGACGTGTAAGATTGACTATGTTCCAGATTACAAAGCGGCATAGAGTAAGATTGCCAGTATATGACTTCCTATTCAAGGTTAATAGTAACTATAAGTGTATCTCTGCCATTTTTGCAGATAAAAGAGGCAAAAAATTTGCAAGACTTAGTACATGATGAAAAGTAGGTCAAAGGTCAATTTCAAGGTCACAGTTTGGCTGCCAGTATGTGACTTCTTTTTCAAGGTCAGTAGTAACCATGGGTGTATCTCTGCCAGTTTTTGAGTATTTCACATTTTGCTTCACTACTGAATATCGAAATGTACTTTTTTATATAGCACAACTCCTAACCTACATATAAAAAACAAACAAAAAAATGGATTCCAACCCCAGTACGTATCAATTGAGCTTGACAAGCTCTACGTAATGCAAAAAACAAGAGGTTTCTTGTATTAAGGGTTCTGGTTTAATAGAGAGTTTTCAGTTTTGGCATCTAAGGGCTGCCTCCCCTCTGAAAATGCACCGATTGACCCCAAACTCCCGAAGATGAAGTCCCAAAATGTAATCCCCCCACTTAGGTCAGTGTAGTTTCTAAAAATTGGCACAAACATATATATGTTTTTTAAACCCCCATTTTAAGATTTTGGCCTGTTTGACCTTGAGATAAAAACAATATTAGCCGATGAATCACAGGGACAGTAGCTTTTAAAAACCATCAGATGTAAAAATTGTTGCTAGCAGATGAGTGCTGTAGCAGTGTAAGAGATTTTGTTTACTAGTTAAAAAAAACATTGCAACAGCCTTGATATATATGTGAAGCATAATGATAATACTAAGAAATGGGATTAAACATTTTAGAATGTTTTTCTCATGATTAAATAAAAAGATAAAATAAAAAATAAGTTCTATTGAAAACATCATTTCAACAAGTATTTCATATAGCAAAAGATATTTGGTGCAGTTGTATCAGTTTTGTAGGCGACATTGATGTTTGTTTAATTAAGACTTGAAATGGCAATCAGCATAATTCTGAGCAGTTCCTGAAATACATGTACATTGTACAATGCTAAATATCTGCTTGGCACAAACATTTGTTCAGTTGGTTTAATAACAAGTTTATTTTTGTTTCCATTTGATGGTGTTTGCATCATAACATGGTGAAATGTATCATCATACATGTATTATGTATCACTATTATGATTATTACAGGAAGTTTTTGTTGTTTTTTTTTTCTTTAGTTAATAACTTATCAACCTTATACAAATACATATGCCATTGTACTGAATCTGCCTGGCTTATAGACTGTTCAGAATAAATTTTATCAACATCCATTTTTTTTTTAATTTGGAGCAGACCAAGTACATTTGGAGCAGGCGGCTGTTTCACAATCAGGGTGAACAATTAAATGTGGTTAATGTTACAAGTGTCTGATAAATTAACAATTTATGATTAGAGATTGCTGATAGACTGATATCAAAGAGACTGTTCATAGGAGCAAAATAAAAAAAGAATTATTATAATCCGACTACAATTTACAAAAACATGGCCAATTATGTGTCCAAAAAGTGCCTATTTCTAGCTGTTACGATGGGTCATTTTCAACTTAGGTCATAAATATGATGCACTAGCTCTTTATGTCAATGATTTATGGTGAATATGATATTTGTGTATAATTCCCACAACATATATGTCTTCTCCCCTAGCAGGTTCTTCCAAAGATATGTTCTGAGTAAAAATAATTTAAACCATTTTGCTGAAACAGGCTTTTGTACACATTTTACTTATTTTTGTTAATGCAATGAAAAACATATTTGATAAGGCCAAATATTACACCTACGTGATAATCAGATGAATTTACCATGTTATGACTTAAACATAAGAAAGGAGTTGTGCATATGTAACCATTATTAATAATGCTATGGTATTTTATAATCATGAGCCCCTTGGTGTCTCCTAATTTTTGTAGTGTCCGTACCCCC